CAATTTTCCTGATTTGTTCTGATTTATTTTTTTAATAATAAATTATTATTTCTGTGAAAGATATTGATATTTTGATTAATAACTTGTTTTTGAGTTAGTATCAAGTACATATGTTTATCAATTTATGTGTGCAATTGCAATCAATGAACAAGTTACAATAACAACTTAACGTAAGGAGCTATTTTGGTATCAAAAATTTATATGACTACATACTATAATAAATTCTCTATGCGATGACGAAGAAACATGTGCTTTAATTCGATAAATAGAATCATTTCTTTAATTTTAATATATAATTTTAGATGTTTATCATCATATTTTATGAGATTTTACCATCAAAAATCTATATAAAGAAAAGATTAAATCTAAGAGAATTTACCGGATTTTTATTAATGTTATTATGTAAATACAATATTCTATTGATACTGATGTCAAGTGTTATGCCATGTTCCTGTGTTATTATTAATATAAACGATGTTTTAGTGATTTCTGATTATATAACACGTGTATTTAATGTTGCTACTTTCTGTAATGTGATGTAAATACTATGAGTAAAATCTAATGTTTCTGTACATTTATTTGCATAATATATATGTAAAAAGAATTTCAATCATAATAAATAAGATGTTTACTCTGTTATAATGGATTGTTTTATGATTAGAGATGTTCGTCTCTCTCATTAACCATAGCATACGACTATCAGATTACGATGTATTATCCCTATATAATGTTATAACATTAATTAAAGTTATAAAAAAAATGAAATTTTTAATTATAATTAATTAATTAATTATATTACAGTATTAGTAATTACTAATAATAAAAGAAAAGAATTTGTTTCTATACTCTTAAGCTTTTAATTATAATCAGGTGAATTTAAATGAAATTTTACATAATTAAAATAAAATGATTATTTAAATTTAATAAATAATGCAAATATTTATAGTTTTTTTAAAAATAATTATTATTAGTTTATATTATAATTTTTCTCGTTATGAAAAAACTTTTAATTGAAAATACATTATAGTCGAAATATGTAAATTTAAAAGACAACCTGTGAAGTTTATTACATTAACCTTAATAATCTTTGTTTTTACGTGGATTATTCTTTAAAAAAAAGCGAGTAAGAATATTCTTTTTTTATTATATTAAGATCTATAATATTTATTAATTAATAATTATATTAAATAGGATACGAATTCGAGATATTGGACTATGGCTGATTTCAAAAGTTTACAAATATATTTAGGTGGCATGATGCAAAGATGTAATAAATAATACTCTTATTATTATATTTTTAAAGTATTTATCACCTTATTTTCCTATATATATAGGCCTAAATATCCCCCTATTTTTTTTTTTATAGCTGGAAATTTGAATCTACGTTGTGTAGTATGTTTGAGACCAGCTTGGAACTATTATTATGGAGCACACGCATGCAAATATTGTCAATATTTCTTTGTAACTACTGTCATTTACAGAAAAATTTATTTTTGCTCTCATAGTGGAAATTGTCCTTTAATAAAAATCGGTGTAAACGAAAATAGTTGTAAATTCTGTCGTATGGATCAAAGTATTTCTAAAGGAATGATGGTGATTAAAGTTGGAAGTGAGCCTTATTATTTACTGTAATTTTATTTAATAAATTAACTATAAAAATTTTTTAAAATGCTAGATTAAAACAATTTGGAATAAATTATTTAAATTTTTATAAACAAAAAATTCTTCCTTCCTAGAATATGACCAACGTAAGAATTCGTATTACTTAAAACAAGCAAGGAATTTCATTGTGAAATCAAATCCTTCAGTAAGTTTTTAAACAAATCTATATATATTTTCGTGTAAAAGTTTCTTTTATATACATAGTATTTTTTATAGGAGGAACCATTAAATCCATACGCTGTGGCAGAAATAAGAGCTTTTGCGAAGACCATACACGAGTTAAAAAAGTTTTTTGTAAAATGGATGAATAGAGGACATATGCAAGATTATTTTGTTTCTCTCCCTCGTAGTCGAGTAATTAATCTAATAAATTCTTTTTCGTTTGAATAATTATTTATAATTTATATATACATATTGATTTTTTTAGCGTATAAAGTGTTTAGAAAGATTGGTAATAATGAGGATTGCAGATGATTCTGTAGATCTTCACGATGTTTTGGTATTACAAGATAAATATTATATCGATCCGTACTTAATTCCAATTTCAAGCTTACAGTACGTTGCTATACAAATTTTGGAAATGGTAAGATACGTTCAAGATAATAGTGGTGAAATAGATAGTGTTTTTCACAGATTTGATGAGACCTTACTAGGCGAACTCATTACCTATCTCGGTAAGCATTAAAGTATTTGAGTTTTCATTAAAAAAAAAGCCAGTTTTTTTATATATATTTTTTC